GCCATCGCTGGTAGGTTGGAGGCCATCGCTGGTAGGTTGGAGGCCATTGCTATAGTGGGTTGGAGGCCATCGATAGTAGGTTGGAGGCCATCGCCAGTAGGCTGCAGGCCATCGCTATAGTGGGTTGGAGGCCATCGATAGTAGGTTGGAGGCCATCGCTAGTAGGTTGAAGGCCACCGCCAGTTGGTTGCAGGCCATCGCTAGTAGGTTGGAGGCCATCGCTAGTAGGTTGGCGGCCATCGCTAGTAGGTTGGAGGCCATGGCTAGTAGGTTGGAGGCCATCACTAGTAGGTTGGAGGCCACCGCTAGTAGGTTGCCGGCCATCACTAGTAGGTTGGAGGCCATTGCAAGTAGGCTGGAGGCCACCGCTAGTAGGTTGGAGGCCATTGCAAGGAGGTTGGAGGCCACCGCTAGTAGTCTGTGGGAACACCTTCGACGGCAAGGAGACTTGTCTCATCACTTCCTCGGAGAGGGCTACCATGACTTGTCTCATCAGGGGATCTTCGATCTGATTCACCACCGGCACCAAGACCTGGTCAGGTTCGCAGGTTTTTCACCCCGCTGGCAGCCACTCTAAACAGCTTCTGAGGATTTCGCTGGAGCCCTAGGGGATGTACATGTAGTTTTATCTCTACATACACTGAAAGGGAAGTGAATGGCATGGGCCCCTGGAAAAGAATTTTGCTTGAACAAAGAATGTCACGACCACCATCCACGGAAACTGATGGCAAAGAACGGTCTGGCGCTGCAACCTAAATCACCAATTGATCCAGTCCCGTCTTGGCCGACGAAATCATCCGTCGGCAGCCCGGTCTCCATGTTCCACACCGTGGCGTCATTTGTCTTTCGTTTTTGAGTCTTCTGGACCCTAACTGGGCATGAATCGATGGCAATCAGCTCTTTTGAGTCGGGTTAACCTTGATTTAATCCGGGCAAACTCCAGCAACACCTCAGGGGTTTGGTGTGACCCTAATCCGGACCCCTGCGATGGAGGGAGGTTGGGCCCGTACGGATTCCGAAAGGGCGCAGTCATATGTGGAGTCCAACACATACACACAGTTCAGCCCACCCTCGTCAACCAGTCCAAACAGAACGCACCCCCACGGGACAGACACATTTACCGTCCCATTCACCCTGAAGCCACCACCCCAATGCATATTCCATATCCATACATGGAGTGTCTGAGGAATACGGTTCAAACCACCTTCTGTCCAATTCGGGCAGATTGAACTACCAATACTACGCGAATCATTTGTCCATGTGATCCGCGTGGTAGGGAACCGAGGAAACGTGGTACGGAACAGTGAAAACATCTTCCTGAGAAGGGGATTCATATTCGATTCATCAAGTGTTCTCGTAAAATCCAACAGATCACCCCCCCCAAAATCCGCTAAATCATGCTACATCCAGGTCCTGGACCCCACACCCAAGGTCCTGGCCTTACAAACTCGGCCTGCACGCGAAAGCAGCTAGGTGGCTGGGCTTCGAGCAGTGTTGCGTGGGGGGACCGACCCATACCGAGCCGTGAAAAAAAACGGAGCCCTTTCATGGCACCTGGAGAGTTCACCCTCTAAGGTTGACCATGTCTGGTAGGCCATTCTGTATGGTTGACCATGTCTGGTTTGGGAGAAGAAAGTGAGAAACACCAGGGAAACACCAGGGTAGTCCAGGTTTGGACTCACGGCCACATGGCAAGGCGGCGATGGTACTGGTGATGGTGTCTGGCAACTGCGCAAGCCGCTTGGACGTGTGGCGAGATCATGGCACCAAACATAAACAGCATAGTCCAGACACGACCTGTCTGGGACTGCCATAGGACTGCCGATCAGGCCAGGGCTGGTGCCAGGTATTCCAGTCCCATGGAGAGTATGGGTAGGATTACCAAACATGGTCAACCTCCCAGGTCTCACCATTTTCGCATACACTCTGGTGAACACATCACATGGTCGTTGACGGCTCTACAAACATGGCGGTTTTTTCCACTTCCATGTTGGTGAGTCAAAGTGTAGACTGTGTAGACCTTCCTTTCTGTTTCAACCTCAAACGTCAACATCGGAATCAGCTTCGATGAAAGTGTTCAAACCGCGTAGCAAACTGGGGGACTCGGCGGTTTGTCCGGTGAAACATTGCCACCATAGACCTTTCCAAAGGCCTCATGACACAGGTGAACCCCCTTTTTCCTTTCGCAATTGCTGGGCCTTGTAGCCCTTGGTGCTTAGTTGGTGCATGCAAAAGATCAGGAGCTATCCATGGAAATCCGGCTGTACCTCGGATATCTCCTTGATCTCATCGACATTAAGCTCTTTGAGCTGTGTCGGTAAGGTCGTAGCCGCCTGTACAGGTTGGAGTCGGTGTACATAAACGTGAAACGCAGCGGCTATTGCTTGGTTCATGGCGGGCGGATAGACTTTGGCCCTTGAAGTCTTAAATCCACCAGCTTCCTTTCCAGCTAATGCGACATGCGCCCCCGGTCCATGCGGGCATCTGCCACCACATCCGCTCTGGAGCGCCAGGATTCGAAAATGCTGGAACCTTGCGAGGATAAATGTCGTGGGCTTGACAGCTGGAGCTCCAAACACGCATTGGTCGAAGGAAATGGCTGAAACTGCCTTGCATCGGGCCATCTGTTTGAGCATAGGCAGTCTCCATATCGATGCCCAATGGTGCAGATCTGCATACAAAGAGAAGAACCTTTTGACAAGGTTCATGCCAACATTGTACTCTTCTTTTGTCAAGAAGGCACCAATTTGGTCAAATTGCAGAATGGCTTCATTGAAAGCACCAATGCACCCCAACATGGTCTTGTGAATCTCAGTCTCTGCGTGCAAAGTTTCCTGGAGCACAGCTTCAAGACAGGGCATGAAGTACTTTGCTTCAGCAGCCTTAGCCTCCAGGCATGGAAATCTCGTGTGGACTTGAGATGTCCCAGACCATGCTTGGCCTCAAGTTGGTGAGTCTTGAAGTGATCTGGAAGGCTTGATAGATCTCTCTGATCCTGCCAAAGAGCTTGGACAGCCTGGTGGAAGGAGAAACTCTTTGTCTCCTGGGCCAATCATACCAACAAAGGTATGAAAGCAGGCTGCCTGCTAAGTGGTTTGCGACACCCCTGGAATACAACATGTGTAAGTTGTCATTCCTCACTAAAGAGGTGGATACACCTGGAATTGCAAAGAGAGGGTGGCTGCTCCTTTTGTCAAGGGCAGCTTCAGAAGGGCTCACATAGATGAATTGTTGCGGATCTTCCTTCAAGAGCTTGAATGATTTTCCTTCTGGGCAAGCCACATGCCTATAGGCAGGTTGCTGGCAGTCACATTCATGGCAAGGATGCTGGTGCCTCCAATGTGGAAGCATAGTGGCCTGTGCTGGGTCAGACACCTCAAATGCACTCTCCACGAGTGACACAATGGGACCGAACATTTGGAAGCCCACGTCGGGTCTGTCGGACATGTGTCCTGTGAACAAGAGATGCTTGAGGCGCCACTCTGGATCGCCGCGTGGGCGTCCTGAGCGGCTGCCGAGAGCACTCGCAACGGTGTTTCTCTGGTGACCAGCTGGGCCATGTCCATGGAGAACACTGCCATCGCCGAGACAACGACCGCCAAGACCTTCAAATTCTTGAAGCTCGTGGCGTACGTGTAGGTGACACACAGCATCACTGCTGCGTACGAGAAGCGTGGTGAACCCCCAACCTATAGCAAACTATGTTAGACCTTTCTTCCTTTTCTTGATATTTGTTTCTAATAGCGATGGCCTCCAACCTACTGGCGATGGCCTCCAGAAAAACTCAAGCAGCAAGCACGTTTAAGTTTAAGGGCAAAATCATGGATACAATCCTTGTTAGTTCCTATGTGTCACTCTTTGGTCTGGTGAGTTACTACCTCGTTAATTACAATTGTATTACTACTACCTCATTTCGCTGTGATCCACCTATAAAGCATGGACGGGCATGTTGCCTCACCGATGAAGACAACAAAAAATCCTATAGAAAAGATCGTCCACTGCAAACCACCCACTTTCACCATGAACTTTGGTTTCATGAACCCATTCAGATGGCCAAGTTCGGAACATCTAGTTCTCCATCCCCGGAACCCGGAGACATCAAAACCCGTGAGCCGAGTCAGAAATCAATCCCTTTGGAGGGTCCCAGCCGACCGAAGCGCAAATCTTGGGTCACGAACTGAAGAACACAGGCTGTTCATTGTCAAATGGGCCCCCCCAAAAATGTCCCAGGTGATCCAAACTTTCCCCAGGGTCCCGCACGTAGCCGCTGCGCGTCCGGCGTCCTGTGCCGCTGAAAAGCGCGGCGCCGTTCCGCGCACATCGGTTTGTCCAGTTTCACGGTCGTCTGACGGTCGTAGCGATCGCACGGTCGAAGTCCAAAGACCTATTTCCCAGACGCGACCCTGGGCCCTCATATGGAGGGGTCGGACCCTCATGTGGAGGGGTCTGGGGTCTCAATTCACTAGGTTTTGAGGGACCAAGGGCTGTTTGGACCGTCTGGGTTTATCTGACATTTTGGCACCAAAGTAAAGGAAATTCTCTTCGCAGGAGCGGTCGTCAGACTCTTTGAAAATGGTCGACTGGACTCCCTCCCAACTTGCAGGTTAGGTCAACTCTCCCCCCAAAGGGTTGGCGCTCACGTCAGACAGTCCACTGTTTGGCTTGGAACTCAGACTTTCAAACGCACATGCCCAGCACAAATCCATCAATTGGTTTTCCCGGTGCTTCAATAATTTCTAGAGACCGGCTGCTTCGACTCTTCTGCCACGGATTCCAGGGAGAAATCGACTCAACATAGTTCAGCTGCAAAACATTTCAGGCCAAATGAACGATGAACAACTCTACCAGCACCCGACTCGACAGGTCGACCCTCCATGGTTGCTGAAATTGAGACTTAAGAGTCGCAGGTGGTGACCTGGCAGGTTTGGGGTGCTCGTCTATTTTTTGACTTATCTTAGCAAGAGACCCCAAACAGTGTGTCTAAAGGTCTAAGGTCTAGAGGTGTAGAAGCAAAAGGTCTAGAGATCTAGACGCGGGCTCCAAAGAGAGGTGATGGTGGTGAGTCGTGGTGGTGGTGATGGTGGAGACGGTGGTGGTGATGAAGGTGGTGACGATGGTGTTGATGGTGGTGGTGCTGATGGGGGTGATGATGGTGGTGATGATTGTGGTGGTGATGGTGATGGTCGTGGTGATGGTGGTGATGTTGGTGGGGATGGTGGTGATGATGGTTGTGGTGTTGGTGTTGGTGTTGGTACTTACTACGACTGCTCACATCGTTACCTCGCCTTTTTCCCGCGCTTCTTCAATGCCGCTTGCGCAGCTTTCGCTCCATTCCTCCTGCGGTGTTTTGCTTTCTTCTCGGCCTCGTTGCGCAATGAAACACCCATATCCAAGCGTTTCTTCTCTCAACTCAGACATGCCTTCTTCTCGTGGTGCATCTCCATGTCTCTCTGTTCCTAAACGCAAAAGCTGTAATTTCAAAAAAGCTGGCGTTGCACTGCAGGTTTCCACGCATCCTCCCCTCTTCGGCGACGCTGGGCACAGTAGTCAGTAATCCTGGCCATGGCGCGCCAGTTGTCAAATCCATAACCTCAGCTCCAGCAGTGACTTTATATAGTTGTGCTCTGGATCTGGTCGCGCCGCTGCTTTTGCTGTCCTTCCAAAACTCCGATGACTCCAATGAAGTCACTCTGGCGCCCACTCACTTGCGCCAATTTGGAGAATCGGCTAACCGCCCAGCGTAGGAGGTCAATGAGGCTATCAACCTCCCTTGGGCTACTGAGGGATGTCAACATCACTCGGCTCTCTTGGTTGAGAATCTTGAACCTGTCAAGAGGCTTGCCATCAAGTTCCCCTTCTCCTCAAAGTACTGCGCCTACCACGAAATCTGCACCTCAATGTGCAAAACTGTTGCGCCGGCGCCTGCACTTCAATGTCTTCAAGGTACTGCACCTGCCACGCAATCTGCACTTAGGAGAATTTGCACTTCAAGGGTCCACAAAGTATAGCACCTGCCACCCGGCCCTTAACAGAACCCCTATACGTTGACCGCACTGTTGTGCAAATAATAAGTACCTGGGTGTAACCATGCCAGGTCCACCAATCAAAGAATGGCTGGTCTCCCTAGATGTCTAGAGGTCGGGAAAGCGATCGAAGTAGAGAGAAAAACAAATGGCGTAGATCTACAGAGTGAGTTAGTCGGTCTCTCTGTCTCTCGGTCGAAAGATCTAGATAGAGATCTAGAGACCGAGGTTTAGTTTCAGAGCTCTACAAAGATCACACATCTGAGAGCACAGTCATCAGAGCACGCATCTGAGAGCACGCATCGGAAAGCATAGACTGCTGCAACTTCAAGGTTCACAAAGTGCTCCGCCTGCCATGACATCTGCCCTTCGAGGTGCACAAAGTAGTGCGCCTGCCACGAAATCTGTACTTCGAGGTTCACAAAGTACTGCGCCTGCCACGAAATCTGCGCTTCAAGATTCACATGCAAGAACGCCTCCAAAGACAACATCGAAATGCCAAAACGCAGCTTTCGCGCGAGAATTCCCCGACTTCTGAAAACGAGCCACATGTCGAAACGCCACTGTTCAGTCACTGCACCTGTCACGAAATTAGAGCACGTCTAAGATGACCACCAGCTGCACCTGCCACGAAATCTGCATTTCGAAGTAAGGCCGCTCCGATCTCTTGCACCTGTCACGAAAAGTCGACTTTGAAAGACGAGAGCGCAGTCGCGACAGGAACCCGCTCCAGCCACCCGAGCCTGCGCAGTCGAAATACACTTCGAGGATTTTGAGAGGCATGAATGCCATGAATGCACTGTAAATAGCAATGAATCAGCCGGACACGGCCGCACGACACCTTGATTATACACCGGCCCTTAACCCCTACCGTAAGAACCCCTATGACCACACTGTTTGGGGAACAATTGAAGAAACCGCAGTCTGGCCCAGCCAATTCGAGGCGCAATCTGGATGTAAGCCTGTAGGCACCATCTTCTTTGAAGAGTGAGAAGATGAGAAATACAAGCCAAAATGTCCCCCAGGAGCCTTCGAACGCTGTTGGCAAACAAACAGGTTGGTTGGATTGTCAAACATCGCTTGGCGCCAACTGGAATTTGGGACCCAATGATCTTTCGAACTCCCAGCCTCTCTGAGTCCTCATTGGATGTAGAAAGGTCGACCTCAGGAACACTCCCACGCCGAAGCTCGCCGCATAGAGTGATTTGGCGCAGGCGAAGGAACCACGTCCGATTCGTTGGGATCCTTGATTGTTGGGATCTTTTTTCCCATCACAGTGGGTATGGTTCAGCTTGACAGTGGCCATGTCACCGCAGTGGAACCCATGGTCCAGCGCTAGTAGCCTGGACCCACGATCGGCAAGAGTTTCCTATGGCAGAGGTCTTCTGTTCCTTCATCCGTCTCTGTGACGCCTTTTCGTTGAAATCTATTTGACCATGCATGGTTTGTCACAGGTGCCACTTGCAGTCCACCAGTCTTCAACACTCGCAACACTTTGCTCAATCCCAGGAGGCAACCATTTCAATCAGTCTTGGGAGGAGGAAAACGGGGGATGGTAATATGCAATGTCCAGCTTCTCTTCTGGCCTCCACTTCGCCGATTCGCTTGATTCATTCCTTTCCTTCTGCCCAGCCTCAACAGCCCTGTGCTTGACAATTTGTCGCTGATGACGAATGGGGGTTGCTTTCGCCAGCTTGGAAGCCATGTGAGTTGCATCCCTGGATTCAAACGGCCTAAATTTTGGCCACGGAGGCATGTTTCACACACTCACATGCCGCTTTCAAGGTTGCACACATGTGCTCAAAATCCATGCACCGGGGAGAAACCGCCCTTATTTGGACGCCAAAGTCATGGCCGGAAACTTCAGCGCCTGGTCACAGCAAAGACGCCATCTTTGAGAACCCATCACCGTCGCATTGTTGGTGAAAACCCGAAGTGGTGTTCGCAGGTTTGTGCTTCGAGACCAACACCCCACGGGTCCGCCGGAAAGCCAACCCACTGGTCGACCATGTTGCCCAACTCGGTGCATCGATGAGGGCAAAAAGACGAGGGGTGCTTCATGGAGACCCCGACACCTCTGTTCGCTACTGGAAAACCCGAACACGACGGCACTCTCCCGCGCTTTCCGGGCATGCCAAGCCCAAGCATCGCGGAGGGTCGACTGCTCCTGGCGTTTTCGTGTTCAAACGCAGGTCCGACCGCCAGGCCAAGCTTTGAACGAGCGAGTTTTGATCCAAGCTGCTGGTGAGGAGGTCCAATAGGAGAATGGGACCTCCTGAGAGTCGGGGTCAAAGAGTGGGGAATAGGTCTTCAACGTCTGTTTGGTGTCCTTCATTTCAGAAGCCCAGGCTGCCCAGGTCCAATCTTCATGCACTGCCACCAGTCAGAAATGGGACGATTCTCGCCCCCTTCCTCCCGCCCAAAGAATGACCCTTCGCTGGCCTGTGGGCGGTAGACCGCCTCCCTATCAATCCACTCCTCCAGCCTCCCCTCGAAAGGTGATGTGTTTCTATGTGTTTCTTACATTCAATGATCTTTGATGTACAGGCGGTGGGTCGCCAGGGAAGAATAGGGAAGGTCCAGTCGTACCGAACCTGGGGGTTGATGGCGATCTGGATCTCATGTGAGAACAGTGAGAACTGATACTTGGCCTGAACATCTACCAAACACCGACCAAACTTCAAGGGAGGCCGAACCTGCTCGTCCGAGCAAAGCCCTGCTCGTCTGCGGGCGGCCGGTGAGGCGGTTCCGGTGCTTTTTGGGATGTGGCCGTCAGGCTTCGTCGCAAATATATGGACGTCATCCAGGAGGGGGATGAATGGGGATGAACTTACGTAGTAACTAGGGCCAGAACTTCAGGCATAGCAAGACCCAATTCAATCAGTTCCACATCGGAATTCGTATTGAATTCCAACACCCATGGTCCTTTTGTGTCCATCACCGATGTCTGCGCAGATGAAACAACCAAAACCGGCGCAAAAAACAATACTCGTCAAAAAGCGCGCCTTGTTCCATTCCTGAGGCCTTCGGCGGTCGGTTCCGGAGGGTATAGTGGAGCAAGTAGAACTACAGGGTACCACTCAACTAGCGCGTGGAAGTGGATGGTTTGGCTCGTGAGTCTTCCGACGTTCCTCCACAAACTGAACCCATACACTCCGGACTGGAAGTCTATGCCTATATCCATTGACCCCCCCTGGCACCACCCCAACTGATATATGGCACTGATGTGTTCGTGTCTGGCTTGGCTGGTGTCTTTTTTCCACGGCTTCCATGTTCCGCGGTCGGAGTCGAGTCTAGTCCCACGACTCGGTCTGCTCGCCCGGTCGCCCGAGCGCGGCGTTCAGATCGGCCCGACTTGCCCAGGAAGTCCAGTCAGCCCGGTTCCGGGTGAATGGACGTTACAGGAACTGAGAAAGTCATTTATAGTCATAATCCCACTAGAGTTCAATGCCCAATCACCAGTTTCTGTTTCGAAGTCATCCCCCAGTCACCCCCGGGAGCGGAGCTCCCATGTTTACCCCCATTGAATATCAATGATCGCCCAATGATTCGAACTCCCGATGTTCGCCTCGGAACAAACATGACCCTACACCTCCAGTTGTACCTCCTGAGAAGGTTTTGGACCCTCCAAACCACCCAGTCCCACCTTCTCAGAAGGTACGACTGGAGGCCTAGGGGCCTAGGGTGGTCTGGTCCCAAAGAACATGGACATGGTCTGTTGCAAATTCCAAAAGCCTCTGATTGATTGTCAATATATATAGTTATGGATCCACTGGTACCTTCTCAGGCTAGGTGATGTGTTCGACACTGAGACATGTATAGGTGCCAAAACGTCGGCTCCAGTCGCCCCGAAGCTGAGGCACGAAAAATGCACCGAACCATCTTCTCGAAGGGAGGCAGGTATAGCTTCAGAAATGTCTGGACTCTAAAGCTCTATCCCTTCAGGGTCCCGGGACTCGGTTTTGTGAGCATCAGTGAAGGATGTGGTAACCTGACAGATCTGTTCCTTTCGAGGTGAATTCGCTACGACACGATCACATAGTGCGCTCAGCTCGGGGCCCGAAGACGCGGACGCCCGGCCTGGTCTCTGTTCTGGGCGTGGTGGCAGTGGTCCTCGGAATACGAGTAAGGACTTTGGATTAACATCCATGTGTGCCTATATATACCCCAAACACTCCATGGGACTGCCATAGGACTGCCGATCAATTGACCCCCAGTCAACCACTCCAACTGATCGGCAGTCCTATGGCAGTCCCATGGAGTGTCTGGGTACAGGATCACGTCTAGATTTATGGTACGATGCATGTTCTTAGACGATCTCCTAAAAATCATGACAATGTTCAAAACAACATTCGAACAACAAGTCCTGACTTGGATGCAGGGTCACCCGAAGTGGGACAAGGGTTCACAAGGGTTCACACCTTCTTGGCACATCTTAGCACATCGGGTGAGGTGCGATCAGCGTCCAGGGCTGAGTCCAAATCAATGTATATATATATATATACCAGTATATAACTTCCTAGAACCTGAATGACCTCTATTTTGGACCACAAACCACCCAAAAGATGGTCTTTTCCTATCAAAACAGAGGTCAAACGGGTTCCAGGCTACTATATTCAACCAAAGGCCCAAAACCTGAGCAAAGAGATGGACCACATCCTTCACTGATGGACCATGTCGTTGTACAGCATTTGCTCTTTCGGCTTTGTTTGTGTGAAGGAGACCTTCTCAATGTGCTTCGATTGGTATGGGTTGCAACGCAGAAAGACAAGGATGCTGGTGCATTCCAAATGAAATTGAGACCCCTGAGCTTGCAACCGCGGGCTGGTAACAAAGCGTGGGCCTCAGCCAGGGTTGAGGAATGCACACAAACACATCTGCAGGTTGGGCAGCTCTCGCTGGAATCGGGATTCTGATCGATAAGGTCTGATATATTCAGATATCTCATCTCTTGTTTCGCTACAAACGGACACATAATATGTTCCTGCAAACTCAAACAAGCAGAAATAAATGGTTGTTTTCAGTATGGCCATCCTTTACCTAGAAAGTTGCTGTTTGGGGAAACATCCATATATTTCTGGTTGTTTGGGTTTTCAGATTGTCAAGTCGGGCGGACCCGGATATGTATGGATTGCGCAGGTCTTTGTTGATTATATAATATATATATATACAGTATATGCTTCTGTTGATTTTACTCTGGGGTTAGCAAGTCTGGCGTGGCTTCAGGTGATTTAGTTTCTCCTTCTTCTGAGTGACTTTACATAGAGTGGTTCAACAACCCTCAGATGTTTTACTGATCATCTTGGCTTCACAAACTCTGTCCCTGCCAAGGCGTCGATCTCTTCCTTCCTTCGGAACCCGGCCGATGAGAGGCAGCTGCTATGTTCTTCTTCGTGTTCAGTTTTGGTTGAGCCTTGAGCCCAGCCAAGTCTCTGGGTATTTGCTATGTTCAGCTGTTTGAATTTGATCTCCAGCCCTGTAGGTCTCCGGGTACCAACTTGGTCGCGCTGGGTCGATCCAAAACACGTACAAAAGGGACGGCGAATGGCAGCACTCCGGTGGCGCACACGCTGGTGGGGGGTCTCCTCTCTCTATCGGGCTCCGATCCGATCGTTCCAATGATCACTGGATTCGAGCTTCCAGAAAAGGTTCTTCGAATCCAGCTGGGATCCCAGTATAGAGTCAATATAGTTGGCTGGTGTTCGCATGTGCTTCGAAAGACTCAATAAATGACCCAAACACTCCATGGGACTGCCATATATGCCGATCAGTTGGGATGCTTTACGGGGGTCAATGGAGCGGCATATATATGGCAGTCCCTTGGAGCGCCTGGGTTAGAGATGGCTCTAGAAGCTCTGATGTTCCTTAGTGGCTAGTGAGGCTATAGTGGCCGTCCACCAAACCCGCCACGTCCGACAAAGCAACCAGCACGAGAACCCGAGGAAGTGCCACTGCCTCCTACGACACCGGCGACCGCACGGACCGACGGCACGGATGACGTCAGCACGGAGTCGACCCGTTCGTACCTCGGAAGATGGGTGCAAGTTATACTATGTTATACTTGTTTTTATGGGGTCATGTCCCGTTTTCGAAGGTACTGGGTCAGTCGCGAAAAAGAGGTCTGGATTTGGAAACCAACGTATGTGCGCCATTCGAAGGATTCGGATCTACCGAACAAAGACTCCCAAGCAAGATCACATGTGGGGGTCCCGGGGGTCGCGAGATCGGTGGATCTGCGACACGGCAGATTCCAAAGACTCCGGGATTGGAAAGGCGTGCCGCCCCAGAAAGACCACTGAAATGAACTACCCCAACTGATTGGTTCAAATGCCATCTTCACTGCCATATCACAAGGTATGGTGATGTGTTCGACGCCATTTTCTTGGTTTGGAATGGTTTGGAGGGTCCAGTCGTCTTGTGAGAAGGTATGTGGATCGCAGTATCGTAGGCTCTGGAAGGAGATCGTGGCTTTCTTATCACAGACCCGGACGAACAGCTGACATATTGCATTGGTGCGACGCCGCAAGCAGCGAGTCAACCCATTTCAGTGGGGTGTCCCCAATCATTTCAAAAGGGTGACGTGTAGGCGATCCACGTTGATCTCCAGGTGATCCGTGGACCCTCCTTAGAAGGGATCGAACCCTCTATAACAAGGGTTTGGACCTTCAAAACCCTTGTTTTTGGGGGTGCGGATAGGGATTATATGGGATTATAATTTGATCTCCAGCTTCTTCAGTGACCGTGACCTTTTGAAAGTAGGCTTGTGACCGTGACCGTGACAGGCTTCGGCGACCGTGACCGAAGCAACCAGGTGGTCGGTCGTTCGGTCACGAAATGCGAACCAGGCTGATGGATGGGCGAGGGAGATCGGTTGGGTCTATTCATCCCAGTCCGGCCCAGCGGATTAGGATGGTTCAGTTGCAGGTCGACCTCCATTTCTTTTAAAATAGTGACTCGCGCAAGTGAAACTGGCTGTTACAGGTCACTTCGGACAAACCCAAAAGATCGGGGTCTTCACCCCGTCAGAGCGTTCCAACGGGGACTGGGAGTGGATAATCCTCACGGGAGTTGGAGCGAAGAAAGACGTGGAACCCCCCCCTGTGTCCCAAAAGAAACATGTTACGCACCTAGCACTTCCTGTCTGGGTGCCCTGTCTGGAGACCCATGAAAACGTAGGGTAGGGTAGTCTAGCCAGGACACCCCATGTCCAGGATGATCCTGGTATCAGGTCTTTCGTCCATCTTCGCTTTGACTTCCGCCTGCGCTCCCCCAACGCCGCTTCATTGGTCGCTCGTCCGCGGGGTTCCGTCCGCGGCTTTCGATCGAGACGAACGTGGGAAAAACCACTTCCCCCCAAAACACATGGGGCAGCCGATCCGTTGCCACTGAGGTCGGTCGGTCCGACTCCCCCCACACGCTGCGGACAAAAACGGTCGTCCTCGACGCGTGGGCAGTCCAAGGCCTCAGTGCGATGACCGTGGACGATTCGTGCGGTGTTTTTCGTGAAAACGACCCCATCTCTACATGTGATCTCGCTTGGGATTGCATTCGTACGGGTTTTTCAGGCTGGCATAGGTGGACCTTCTTGATCGTTGTTCCATGGCCCCAATTTTGTCATTAGCACCACATGGTGGATGAACATTTGTTTGGACGGAACAGAGTACTCAACCACATGCCTGACTCCTTTGAGATAAATAAAAGGAGCACGCTCGGCTTCTTGGAGATGTCGTCCTTTACCGCTTTGGAGTTGCACAAGTTGAACTTTGGACACTCAGCAGACCGGAGGAGGCAACTGGAAGGACGCTTCAGCAGTGCAAGTGACCAAGAAGCCTAGCGTAGATGTTGTCACATCTCTGACTATGACACCTGCTGGGTACCCTAGATCACATAATGCCACAGTAAACACAGTCAAACTTTGCTCTTTCAGCAGTCAAAGCCTGGAAGCCCGTTGTATGGTATGCCATGACGAAGTAGGCTCAAATTGAAAGGCCTTGCCATGACGAAGTAGGCTCAAATTGAAAGGCCTTGAACTTTGTCGGCGAGCATTGGTCCAACTGATGCTGCTTGGAACAGGCAGCAGATGCATTCGGCGCTCTAAGAGGGCTTTGCTTGAAGGCGTTGAGTGTAAGCTCGTCATCTAGCCACAACCCGTCTTCATGGCCATGCACACACATACACACACATATTTCGGCCTGCGCAGCATAGTTGTAGTTCTGCGCAATCAATCAACAAAAAGGTCATGGTCTATTCCTTTCTGCAGCAGAATGGGATGGATTTCACCCACAACGGAGCTCCCAAATCGACGGCGTTTTTACACACGGTGTCCCCCACGCTGTCCGGCTCCAGAACACGCGATGGAACTGATGGAATTTCCCTACATCCAGCCGTACCGTACCTCAGGTACGGTGATGTGTTGTCTCCACTGTTATGTAAGTGTGAAAACGTTCAGAACGAGCTCGTGGTGGCTGCGGACGACTTGGCATCATGATGGAGGTCGCATGCGCCCTGGACCGAGGTCTTTTCCTGGGTCTGGACCGGGAGTATCGTAGCATAATAAGGACATCACAAGCAAAGAACCCACGAGATTCCACTCTCTTCATTAAGGGCCCATGGTGCATTTACAGCAGGCCAGTTCAAGATTGAGCAAGTGAGAACCCCATTTGGATTGACAAACCTCTGCATACGGCGGGGGTATGGCGGGGGTTTATTAGTCAAGAGTCTGCATTAATTCAGTCTCGCGCTATGTCTCGTTTACCCCAGACCAACAAAAATGACCAGGACTGACGGTTGAAGGAAACGACACTCGCTGGCTCCTCCCAGCGACTCGGGGGCCACACTAAAGCTATTGAAGGGTCGCGCGTCTGCACTCGCAGGCCTCGCACCACCGACCAGCGAGAGATTTCCTATCCTGGATTTGTTCGTCGCCGGGGGGAATAGACACAAACAAAATCCCCACGATGGGGGATTCACCCTAGGGAAAATAAACAATCACCTGATCCACGAAACCTGAGGTATCTTATTACACACTTTCAGAGGATGATAAACACTGAAGAGGCATGCTCCATTGGCTCTGAGGACACGTTGTCGTTTTTGTTTGGCTCGGACCTTTGGATGGCGATATGTTGCAGCTCGATCCCTCCTGGATGCATCCGATACAAAAGCTTTCAACACTGGGCGGGGTTTCTACAGGATGGCGCCATCATGAACATACCAGGGCCCCCTAAGGGGTGTCTAATAATAGCCCCTTAGAGGTTGAGGGATGTCCATTAACCACCCCTTGGGGGTCCAGGTATACACTAATTAATCAACATACTCGGATCCATCTATTCATGTCATGGACAACTATGACTGCCGTGACTGGACCACTGCTCGTCTGCATGCTCGTCTGCATCCACTGCCACCGACGCTGAAAGGGTGATGTTTTCTTCGACGCTGAAGGCCTGTAGGTTCAAACCTTCGAGCAGGAAGTGGAGGTACTTGGATCCCTACATCAATGGAGAGAATCTCGATGCCTGAAACAATGATGTTTCTTCTCACGTGAGACATTGATTCAGCCTGGAACCCAGTCCAAACCAGAAGTTCCAATACGGTGGCTTACTTAAAATCCTTTACATCTAAAACAGTGGCGAAACCAGAACCTGTGCGAACCAGGTCCGGCCATGCAGCTCAACTGAGGTGTTGGCTGATTGAATGTTCTGGGGCTGGGAAACTCCAGCACCACCTCACGTCCTTCCCCCTCCTTCCGCCCCCTCCTCATCGGCAGTAGCGCAGACGCCGGCGGCGTGGTCGCGCGGGACGTCGCCACGGCAGGGCTTTGCACCACGCGGTCGGGCACCTCGACGGCGCACGCCCTCCGGAGCTGAACATCGGATGGTCCAGTCGTAAGCTACGAAGCCTCTACAGTAAGGGGTGCCCTGTCTGGAAGCCTAGGCCGGTGACCAAGCGGCCAGGTAGTGTGCGTTGCACCATCAGTTCCTGCGGTTCCTTTTGTTGAGAAAGAACCACCATCCCGGGAGTCCAAGACTCAACATCATGGCCAGCTTCTTCAGTTCGTGTCCTTTTGATCCGGAGGTTCCTTGTTTCGACCCAATGCAGGGTGACAGGGTTCGGCGACCGTGACCCAACATTGACCTAGTTATCCAAGTTCGGTCCAAATGTCACGAACCAGGCACCATCCACTCGGTTCGGTCCCCGATTCTGGTCAGATCTGGTCGGACCCGACCCAGCTTGGTCGCTTGGCGACAGAGGAACAGCAGATTCACCCAGATTCACCCAGAAGGGGATTGACTTCGGAAGGGGCTAGGATTGACTCACACATCACCGAAGAAGAGTCCCCCTAGGGCTCCAAGTACCTTCTTAGAAGGTGTTTGGGGAGGGTTTAGAGGGTCCAAATACCTTCTGAGGAGGTACTTGGAGCCCTAGGGTCCTTTTACCAGGCGGCTGGGACATCTGGGGACGACCCATCCGTGAACGGAGCTCCAGCCTTCGCTGGATCGTTTTGGCATAAAGGGCCTAGTGACCGACCGACGAGTGAGGAAGCACATGCAGAAGGAAGCATGCGATTTGGAAAACCATGCAACCAATAATATGGCAAGATCCCGGTGCACCAGAATGAGTTCCTTTTTGCATATTCCCGGTGCACCAAGCTCAATGTCCTTCCTTGAAGTATGCCTATCCCAATCTCGATCTTTACTTTGCTCCAATCTTGTGGAATGCCTTCATTGATTCCAGCCTAACAAGTTCGGCAGGGATGTCAAGCGGCCACCAAGAACAACACCATAAACAAAAGGTCTGGGAGCCAGGCTCGGAAGCATTTTGGGGAATACGGCCTCTTCGTTTGCTTGCCAAGACTTGTTTGGTTTCTGCATGTTTCTGCTTTAATGCTTGTTGGTTGCTACCAAAGCTTACATCTTTCTTGATTGGAGTCCTTGCTTGCACACCTGGCGCATTTTGTGTGTCACTCTACTTTGCTGCTTCTCCTAACCACATCAATTTTCAACATGTTGCTGATCTACTTTGTGACATTGGTTTTAAAGCAATTTCCACAAGGATCTAGCATTAAGAATAATAGCAGATTCCGCTTCCTGTTTCAAGGTTCCAAGTTGCCCACACTTGCCAAATGTTTCTACAAAAAAGTCGAAATATTGGATCGTCTTTTACTAGTGAACCTAGCATGCTGGCATATCTGGACATATTGAAAAGCAAAGCACACACTTGCCGGCCGCATTCCACTCCACTCATATTCAGTACCCATTCCCCAATTCCAGGTTGGGCACGTGGTACTTATTTGTTTTTCCTCCCTGGAGCATTCTCACCGTTTTCCGTGGATGGCACCACCTGATTGGTTACGCATTCATGGCACCACTTGACGTCATTCATGGCATTTCCATGTCATTCATGGGGCCGAAAGCTGTGGAGATTTGTTCAAGCAGGATGAGACAGCCGGCATGAAACAGCTCGTGGACTTCGATGTCGCCGCCAGCATCAAGGACGGCAACGGAACATTTGCCAGGAAGGATCATCGGGTCTGCTAAAGGAGAAGGCAGCCATGCACATCAGCATCAGCAAACACACCGCACATGGCATTTCATTGTTTCACATGTTGCTTTCGTTTGTGCCAGTTGAAAATCGGCAGTGCTGCCAGTGAGAGCTTTTTGCAAACGCTGTTGAACACGTTGAAAGCTAAGAAAGACATGGAAAGACGCTCTGCGTAGACTTTGTCTCCCGCTGAGCATGGAAAACGTTAAACAAATTCACACTGCCTGCTCTCTTGTGTTGGTGCAGCATTGGGTTCAAACGTGTTTTACACGCTTGGTGCCTGCACACTCTGGTTTCCCAGGTGCAGCAAGTCTTGGAAAAAAAAGGAACTATCCTCCGGTCACGTGAGGTAGTTCAGACCAGCCAAAAGGAGCAGCAAAAGAAACTCTTCTCCGGTCACGTGAGGTAGTTCAGATCTGCCAAAAAGAGCACCTCGTTTCCTGCGGACGGGAGTGTATTCCTGCGGACGGCGCAGCAGGGGGCGAGTGAAGGATGAAGGGGCGGCAAGCCAGCCGAATGGCTGCCTTGCAGGAAATGATGACTTGCTCCACTTTCTCCAAAGCAGCAACCACCATCAGGGAATACCAGGGGGGGCACATCGACACGTCCCTGATTGTTTAGAACTTGGCATTCTGACCTCGAACATGACATCAGGAGCATGCTTAGAGCACCACTGGCGAACATGCGCGTAGCGCTGGTGCCACTGATATTCGAATCTGTGGCTTGCAAGTGCATTCCAGCTGGCCACTTTCTCCTCATCATCCATGAAACTGTGCAGCGAGCAACCAGTCATATGGGCCTGGTGCATGTGCGTGTCAGAGATGGGAGTTGTGGCATTGATGCAATGTGGCAAAAGCCTGGGAGTGCCTTTGTAGCCGGTACATGACACCACACAGTCAAACTTTTCGCCAGGAAATGCATCACAGCTCACTGTGCCATCCGCGTTGCTCATGTACTTGAAACTGCTGGCATCTCCCTGGACACCATAGGCATGAAGCATCAGGTTCATGAACACAGCATCTGAAAGTGTGATGATGCCTCCGCGGGTCTTCTCCCTGACCTTCTTACAATTTGGATTGCCCACAACATACCAATCCCAGGAATCCAAGTCCTCCAACTCACATTCCTTCTTCCAATCCTCAGCTGTCACCTCTGCACTCAGCATGGTTATGCATGCCGATATGGGTGGAAGAACATCACGAGGCTTGAAAAGGGACGAGGCTTGAAGCTCCGGCGCACGCATGTATGCAGTCGAGGATCGGTCTAAGCAGCGCACGGGTCAAAAGCCGTTCTCGGCAGGAGGACTTGCCGCTCCCCACCAGCAAGACACCTAATTGGTGGCTTTAACCATCCCAATCCAAATCAATTAAAGGGGATGATGGTCCTTCCCCAAAAAGACATGCAAAAGCTAAATGCACAAACAAAAATATGCCCAAACCACCGAAACACGTTTGCAGTGCAGGCTCTCGGCATGTTGCCTCAGCTGACTGGAGTGAACTTCCACTGGGATGCCCAAGAGCTGAGGATTTCCTCCATAGCCATCGAAGCCGGTGGCCTGCACGACATGCCGGCCGTAGATGTGGCCATGATGGTGGTGTTGCTCGTCTGCATCTCTTGGAATGTAGGTGACCTTCTTTAGCTTGGTCTCACTCTTTTCCAGTGCGACACTGGTCACTTCTCCAACGAAGTGTGCACTCACCACGCGTCCGGCGATCTTGCCAGCGTACTGGCACACTTGCTCACTGGAGGCTTGGTGCCTGGAATCGGTATGAGCCTCGGGCTCGTCGTAGGGAAGGCCTGGCAAAGCATAACGATAGGTAGGAATGTGCAGCTTGACGTTGTCAGCAGCATCCCACCAAAGTCCCCCAGCGTGTTCCTCTTTTGAGACAAAGGCCATCTTGAGTGATTCATCCTTTCAGCTGGTGAAGCCATATCCAATAAAGACAATGTCAAACTCCTCTCGACTTACAAGGCTGTTCGGAGTTGTGTTTGGACTTTCTTCTTTGCCTTTTGCTTGGGCACGGCATTGTGTTGGTGTGCGAAAAAATGATGCAGGGCAAAAACGCAAAACGGGTTTCTTTGGCATACACAACCTTCTTGTGCCTTCTTCTACCTTCTTCTGCAAATGACATGTTTTCAAACGGAGCTTCTTGGCCCTTGCTCACCTACAAGTGGTTCTCAACCTGATCTTCATAGGTGTTGTCAAGGCATAGGTGTTCAAGATCGTCAAGGCATGTAGACCCGGTAGACGTGATTCTGATGCGCGAGTCGGCCGTGTCTTTCACTGCCATCAAGCTTTCGATGCTGAGCTGATCTCTTTTCCTTGGATCTTAAGGAAGCTGGAAATAAACATTCCCCAGAAGGGGTTACCCATGGGGAAACAGAAAAAGAACACACCTTAATGCAAAACTGGATTCCCATGACTGTCTTGGAAGTCAGCGCACACAGACATGTGTCGTGGGAGGATTGAATAGGTTCACGTCTGCAGTTTTGAGGTTCTGTAGGCCAAATGGCTAAGAAAGAAGGTGCTCATTTAAACAATCTGATGGATATAGGGCTCAATCTTGAATTTTGCTATTAGGTTGGAGGCCATCGCTATTAGGTTGGAGGCCATCGCTATGAGGTTGGAGGCCATCAGTCTAATGGTTTCTCAAATCAGCAAATCTGGGCAGCTTCTTTAGCTACTGAGCCACGGCCATTCTTCAAGGCCGTCCTGAGCTTCAGGCACGTCCTCCGAGCTGACGGGCTCCAAGCCTAGCAAAAGCGAACCCAGAAGGACATCCGGTGCAGACCGGACTGACACTCGCTGGTTCGGACTGCGGAAAGTGTTGCACCACCTGGAAGTGCAGATTTCATGGTCATCCGAAATGGGGGAGTCAGGCCATTTCGAATGTATGATGAAAGTTTCTACCAACCAACCTACACGCCCTGCAATAAATATGAACGTAGCTGGCATGGCCCGTTTTATGTAGGTGCCGGTGCCGGGAGGGTCCAGTCGTACCTTGTGAGGCCTTCTGAATGGCTCACATGTGACATCTTTTCGCTCGCTACAATGTAGCAAACGTGCGTTATTTTGTTGGCGGAGAGGGCTGGTATTCATTTTCTAATTAGACCGTCCCCGAGTGTTGTCCAGAACCAAATGGTGGGAGCACTCTTCGACCCTGTCTTGTGGCTGCCCCCATCTCGTTGTCCAAGGAACATCAACAAACCAATCTCATGTGATGGACACCGGCCGTCACGCCAACTCGAGAGCTCGAGAGCGGATTCCACGCCTGCAGTGTGGTGGGCTCCAGCAACGCAGCCTGCACCCATTTTGGAGCGGCCACTTGGATTTGGTCCAGCTGGGAAAACATAAACATACATAAACCCTAGGCCTCCAGTCGTACCTTCTGAGAAGGTGGGACTCGGGTGGGTGGATTTGGAGGGTCCAAAAACCTTCTTGAGGAGGTACGACTGGAGGTGTAGGGAATAGCCACCTTGGGGATTCACCCAGGAACGCAAAAAAACACATCACCCATGATGTTTCAGCCAAACCTCCGATGTTTCTTCCAGCCCAACCTGGAGTGGATCTGTTCGGCTTGATGTCATGGTGAAAACCGCTGAAAAAAAGAAGGCTGCGTTGCCTCCTGACTCTGAAACAACAACTCTGAACTCAGCAAAGCCTTTTTTGTCGAAAAGAAGGACTCCAAGCTGGGGCAGCGAAAAAATAGGTCTCGACCTCCCAAAAAAGCTCCGGAAAATGGACCAGTCTACCCAGCCGGGAGCGATCGTTTGTTGCTTGAGGATTTCAACTTGTCGGAGACCTGTTGGTGGATGCTGGTCTTGTCTCTTGCTTTCCTTTGGAAGATGCCGACTGAAATACATTCTCACTTCCTCCGAATCGAAGATGGTTGGGGTGTGGCACCCCCACGGGGTCCGAGCACAGAACCAAATATGGCACAGGAGCCCTTAGAGGAAAACCCCCCGCGGAGTTCCGCCCTCTTCGCCGCCTGCGTCAAAGAAAGCCGCGGCGTGGGGGACACCGCTGGAGCGGAGGCCAAGCGCCTTGTTCTTAGGCGGAGAGTCTGAAGCAGGTCCAAGTGGTGCCAAGAATTCATCTGAATGACTCGGGACGAGAGGGAAAGTCCTCAAAACCTTTAATTAGGAATGGATATCTGATAGATCTGTCTACTGCCACATCGGAGACATGGCCCAGTCTCAACACGATGATGAAGATCTGGGAATGGGCGACGAAACGAGAGGTGGCTATTCCCTACACCTCCAGTCGTACCTCCTCAGAAGGTTTTTGGACCCTCCAAATCCACCCACCCCAGTCCCACCTTCTCAGAAGGTACGACTGGAGGCCTGTAGGGTTTATGTAAGCAAACGGCCTCAAAACAAACTTTGAACATATACAGTGGATTGAGAGTAGATGGCACAATCACCAAAAGGTGGTTTATATATGGATCCCCATCTAAACGACATCTTGGGGGTTTTGCCATCTACTCTGAAACCACTGGAAGTCCTAAATTGCAAAGAATAGACACCATATAGACACCCCCTTGGCCGCTTGTATTTTGGGGGTTTAATGGCTGTTTCGTTCGGAGATACAAGTGAACTCGTTGTGCCCTCTGAGCTCAGCACCAGTGGAACTCCATCTGTGATGTTCTTTAGCAAAGGTGTCTGTTACAAACCGGGGCAATGAAGAAACTCCCGCCCTGATCTGTGCCTGTTGTACATCTTCCACTTACGATGTTCAATCAACCTTGTAGGTTAGTCCCCCCACTGTGAACCAGGCCCTCCAGTCCCTCAGCTCCCAGCAGTGGCTGAGGCGGAGTCGTGGGCGGAGTCAGCATCACCCTGCCATGCGGAGTCAGCGCCACGCTCCGATCGAAGCACCGGCCCCACCGGAGCGAGACGTGCACTGTCGACGTCTATGTCTCGTCTCGTCATTGTTTCGGTCCACCCGAACGAAACCACCAACGGGGCAAACATCATGTCGTTCTTTTCAAAGCGCAGTCATTGTCCTTCCGCTGCGTGAGTCGTCATATCCTGAACGAGTCGTCCTCTCGTACGAGGCTCGTCGTATTGAGGTCGTTACCGTACCTGCTTCGGTCTTCTTCCCACAGCACGAGAGTACTGTGGTCCACCAGCTGCTTCCGGGCTAGGGGTCACCTGGCTGGATATCTCCACACTACGTAAACAGGTCTGACAGGGCACCCCGACTGGAAGCGCGGTCCGGGTCCTGTCGAACCGAAGCTACGGTACGTGGATGGGTCAGGGGGTCAGGTGGCTACACCTTCGACAACTCCGACATGTGGACCCAGTGCCATTCGGCCAAGCGAGTTGCTCCATTTGCAGTCAGGTCTTGGATTTTCGGGTCACCCCTTGAGTGTTAGTATACTGACTGTTGTGAATCAAGTGAGATGTTTTGTTGGGGTTGTTCTCTAAGGCGATAGAGCTTTCTCATGCGTAGGAAATGCCGTACGTATGGTTGGACCAGCACACACACACTCACCGTTTGTCTGACGGTGATAGATCAAACACTCTGGGATCGGGTTTGACCAGTGGGAACACAACCTGGCAGCCACGAAGGACTCATTTCCAGCAAATCTTGGGCAGCCGAAAGGGTTCAACCAAAAAAAAAACTGCATCTGGAAACCTTGCCATGACTCAGCATCACATGACCGAACACTCCCAACAAATGGCCAGGCTGACATGGTATGAGCATCTGCCAGAGCCATATCTGGCAAGAGTTGAGTCACGTTACATCGCAATCCTTTCCCTATGGACCCACTGCCACCCTCTTTTATGTAGGCGCCTGTAGCGTCCTGTCGTACCTTCACTGGATCCCTGGGGTTTCTGAAACAAAAAACCATCCGGGAACTTACCCATGAGTTCTGTCAAAGCCAGCTGGCCCGTTCCCACTGTCTTCAGTATTTTTGGGGGCGACTACGAGAAAGTGTCTGTTCTTTGGCAACGGTCTCCAAATAGATACAGTATATATAGTGGAACGGTGTCCAATACATTTTCTACGTCGGGATCTACGATTTGGGGGTCTATACAGAGACTTTTTTAAATACATTGCGCAACTAAAAGCCCCCCCTCCAACAGGTCACCACCTGCCACTTTAAAGTCTAACACAAAGACACCATGTCTGTTGGAGGGTGCAACTATGAGCCCAGGGCATCCAGGCAAACCACTATAGCTGGTAATCAGTTCCAGTTCGACTAAAACCATAGACCGAACGAATCCCTGGTTCCTTGTATAGTGGTTTGCCTGGGATCCACTGGGGAGGCTAATCTTTCTTGTAAACTTCCGGAGTCTGCAAGGCCTCCAAGGCCTGGCCTTGGCCTTGATCATCCGATCAATCCCAGTCTGAATGAATATATCTCTCATACCCTACAGGTCTGTTTGACCTCATGAAATACTGGACGTGGTCATACAAAAAACGACTTAAGGATGTAAGTTGGACCTGAGTTCTGTCCGAAATTCTCTACATCTGGGAGCGGTCATTAGGACAGGACATCCAGCTTCGGTTTTGCTCGTCGGTTTCCAATGTTTAATGTTGATTGATGAATATATCACTATAGTTAACATACCTTTCCCGGATTGATACAAAGGCATCGGTCTTGGGATTTCCTCATGGGTTTTCAGTGTATGCTCAATGTACCTACCGAGTTAACAGCTGACTGACTCTCCCACCTTTCTGAACGGATCTCACCTGGTTACTGAGTCCAGTTCTGGACGTAGGGATAGGGTCGCAGCGACCGTGAGGTGTTCTTCGTACCGAAAAGCCGGTCCACCCGGTGTCCCGAAACGGAGTGGGCGACAGCACCCGCAGCACAGAATCCGACAGGAACAGCACTTGACGTCACGTCACGTCCCCATCCCAACAACAAGCATGGAAGTGGATGGCAACCCATGGAAACATGTCTTCCCTTTCGAAGCCATGCTCCACGTAACCATGTTTGTTGGAAGTCTGAAACAAATTCTTCAAACTGGAACCACTCAATGCTATAGTAGCAAGAAGCTACTAGGTGGAGGCCATTGCTATTAGGTTGGAGGCCATCGCTACTAAACTAGTACCAAAAAGCTCCCAAGTTTCTTGGATTGGATTGGTGCTGCTATGCTTCCCTCCTCCCATTCCATCGATCCTCCCCACTCCCGCTGCCTGGCCAGTGGAAGCGTCACGACCTTGTCCAGCACATCGATGAAAGGATCGTCAATGACAGTTTCCGGGGGAGTTTCCCGTTCCTCCAACTCGTTCGAGCGTGCGTTTGAGCCTGAGCGTGGGTGTTGCGAAGCGACTCGTCGGATGAAGAACAGAATGCAGAATGATAACGTCCGTCCAGGATATACGAAGCTGTTTTCGGAGTCATCATGTGGACATCTCTCGCAACATGTGCAACTGTCATAGCAATCTGCAGTGAGCCAAACAGGGCGACGCCCATGAAAAAGGTTTAGGTTGATGAGGAGACGGATGCGAGATTGGAGACGTGTCCTCTCAGCGTTCTTGCACACGTTCGAGGGTGGTTCCTGCGCTCGTCACCCTACCCACCAAGAATGGCGTCCTCTCCCAAGTCGACCTCATTTTACTGAACCAGGAGTCACAAAGGGGTGGTGTTTAGTCCCCAAGTGAGTGGATGTTCTGGGCACCCCCAACCTCCATTAAGCACCCCTTTGTGACTGCAGGGACATGGTCATACACTAAACACAAAAAAGGATGCAAGTTGGATGCAAGAAGCGCGCTTGGGGTCCAAAAGCCATGTGTGGATCTTTTTTTCATGTCCTGCTTTGTGGGAAGTGAAAGCTCAAGGTATATATATATATATTATGTATATTCCTTAGTACCCAACCAGGATCCGAGCATTCGCCAATGCCGACACCGAGATCACGCAGGGACTGCGACCCGTCGTTGGATCCGTCTCGTTTCGCCCCGCTGGGCCCCCGGGTCCAACCGTTTTTTGGAGGGTCCAGATCCTTAGGGTGGAACCCGTTCGGTCTCCAGTTGTACCTTGATGTTCGAAGGGACTGGGGTGGGTGAGTGCCAGGGTCCAAACCTGAGGAGATCGGAGGTACGACTGGAGGTGTAGGGTAATCAGACAGAGATGTGTGCAATGACCGAGGCATACATGGACGGTCTGGGACGCCAAATGCCAGGGGCCGAAGTCGGATCGCCGAAGTCTCCCGTCTGCCATGGCTGAATCGATTGGGTCCCAAAAACAAGGTCCGGGGGGCTTCACCCAGCTTCTTCCAAAATAGGACTTAGTGCTTTGGTGCCTAACAAGGCCAGCCCTGAACAGAGGGGAGTGACCTGTCTGTCAACCAACGTTCGGTGTTTCGATGGATTCTTTTTGTAAGATCTACTCAGTGGAGGTTGGGCACAGGCAGTTGCAGCCCGGATTGGATGCAAGACACGACGTCGTCCCAGGCTTTGGGGGTGGTCGCCCAAGGATGTCCAAGGAATTGAGTTTGTCCCAGACATGGAATGCAAATACTCCATGTTGCATGGAACATTTACATTGAGCTTTCTGGGGTCGATGTATATACACTCCCTGGAACTAACATGGTTACGTGGAGAATGGCTCCGAAAGGACCATGACATCCACTACAAACAGGTGGTTGTCCACGTAACCATGTTAGTTCCAGGGAGAGTAGTCCTTTGGACTGTCTCCGATATTTCCAAACCCGCTTGAGAGCTCAACATCGTGAGCATTTCTCTAAGAGCTATTGACCATGACTGACCGTTGTGTCACCCGCAAAGTAACTCACACACACCATGGCGGCAGCATAGGAGCAGCTCGAGAACACCTTTCGAACCATCTCCATTGAAACAATGGACTCCCCCGCGCCCCTGTGAGAGGGCAAAGTAGGAAGACAATGTGAGGGGCAGCCCAGAAGTGGCTGGCACAAGATTCTGATCTGCTGAAGTCGCAAGCACCATCACTGGCAAGCTGAGAAGTAGACTGCAAGCTCATGCGAGTGATTTCGATATCTGTGCATCTTCTCGGATCACTCTCCATTCTGTCCGGCCCAACAATACTATAGCACATTGCTTTGAAGAAAAGGTGTTTCATTGGGAAAAAACACAAATCAACACTTCAAGTTGCTGGTGCACCCGGAATCCTGGAATGGGTCACAAGGAGTAGGTGGCTGTAGCTACACGTCATCCATCCAGTTTGTAATGGCTTCAGACCCATCTGCTCCATTTCTTCCTGAAGAACTAGGTCCAACCAGCTTGCCCAGCCGTGATTCGGGACAGGCGCCCAGCGCCATCGACAGGCGCCCTCTTGAAGTTGGAAAAGATAGGAAGACCTCCTTCGAAGACCATCCAAACGCTACAAGAGACGACGAGAGGCGCAACGCTCACAGCCCAGTCAAGTCACGCGCCGCGAGCCACGACTGTGCGACATGTGCGGATTGAAAATGTTGGGATCAGTGCATGGCATCAGTGCAACATCTCCCAAAAATACTTGGAATCCAATGGATCTTCTACTTGAAAAGAAGTTGAACCTGTTTGCTAGATGATCTAGAAGTGCTAGCTGAACATTATGAGCCCCAAAAGAACGTGGTGCGCGAACCTCGGGGACCTGAACTTGGACAGAGCGCGACAGTGCACACGGTGCACCGAAACGATCGGACAAGGAGGTAAGAGCTCAAACCTCCGAGTCCTGTTACAAAAATATCATCCTAAAGAGCCCAGTTGCCATTCAACATGGAACCAGGAAGAGTGAAATGATTTTTTGGGCCCTGGTTCCGAAATGGGCAGCGACTCGACTCCTTGCGTGAGCAAGGAAAGCTCAAGCACGGACATGGCGGTATAGGTCGTCCACAGATGTAATCTGCCTGCCCCTACACCACCAAGTCGGCGGGTGCGTTCACCAGGTCGATGGGGAATCACTCCCGAAAGACCGGAGCTTTGAGAGTTAGCGAACCATTTCCGGCGCTTCAAAAGGTTTTCACATATCACCTTTTCCTACATTTGGACTGGAAAGGGATGCGTAAGGTCCCAAACAAGGCGAAGGTCTGTTAATGGTTCCGGCGCTTTTTCACGGGTACTGCCTGGGTGAGTTCTGCCATTTCAACGTCCAAGAATGAGTTCTTCAGCACCCGCCGAATGAACGATGCACCGTCAGGCTAGGCCAACCGCCCAGCCCGAGATCTGCTGATCACCCGAGCCGAATTCGCAGCCGGCTGCGATGACCCTTCTCTCCCATCCGCAGCTCCAGAAGTATCCCAACTGCACCGAGCTAGAACCTCAGGAGTGAGTTCTTTTGATTAAAACACGCGGGGCAACCGACAGATCGTCACCTGAAGGATTAATATGTTGAAGAAGTTTCTGAAAGTCTTTCATGTCTCTTCCAAACATGTTCAGAAACAAGGACCGGGACCCTCCAAAGTACCTTAGACAATGGGACGTGACCCCATAGAAAACAAGTACCTGTACCCATTTTCCGAGGTACAAGACATATATTATTACTCTTTCACCATGGCAGGTGCCTGCATGGTGTCTTTCACAGCCAGGCCTCGATCAGGCCTCTGACAACCAGTTTTGGGCGCAGCCCCCTGACTTGTTCAAACAACGACAACAACTCAAAGCGTTAGGTGTGTGGTTCTTTTTTTTGTGTGTGTGTGTGTAGGGGACCTCCCAAACGTTCCGACCCCCCTGCAAGAGTCAATCAGGAACTGGGAAAATAAAAAAAACACCTTATTATATCCTTATATAAGCCACACCGGGATAGAACACATCATTTTGACATCTCCTGGAGCCTCGGCATGCAATGAATTGGGAAAATGCTCGAGTCCCAGGGATACGCTGGGTGCCGAATGACATGTCCATCATTTTCGGGTTCCTAAGTACGGTCAAACCTTCTCTTCGATCTCCATGTTTCGGAGATGTGTCTCTTTGATCATCTTGTTGTTCCTGTCTCTTTAATGCGGGATAGCTGCAGCACCACCCAGGGCTAGGGTGGTTTAAGCCACCCTCTGAAGAGGTATTTGTTCCATCCAACAAGCACCCGAACTGGGTGGCCGGTGGTATATGAATGTAAAAGGATCTTGAAGTGCTCATATATATTCCATGCAGCTCGTCTTGCTGAAAGCTTGCTTCACTTGCCGACAGCTCAAAGAAACTGGTCAACCTTTCCGAGGGATCTTAGACTAGAAACCACATCACGCCTACTCGTAGTAAGGAAGCACAACATGAACAATTGGGCGTGAGTCTCCGTCATGGAAAATCGATCTCTGTAATGAAAACCACCCCCAAGGATCCGGACCCTCAAAAACTAAGGGCTTTTCAGGGTCCACACCGTCCACACCCCAAAAGACGAGGCTTCGGAGACACCACCACGTCATGAAAGGCTCCGAGCCACCGTTTGGCTCGGGCGGGTTGTGCGAACTCCCTCCGACATGTACCGGTCGGGCGAACTCCCTCGTCTCCGACACGGTGCGACCTCCCTCGTCTCCGGTCCACCGACACGGTGCGACATCGGTCCCCAACGACGACCAGGGATCTGAGCGCGGGGATTCACAGGTGTCGACAGCAGGAGAGAACAACTGGCGTCACCAGACGGCGGGAGGAACATGGGTCGGAACTCGGAAGGGTCGTTTTTGGGGAGACCCTGAAAGTGGAGAATCCAAAAGCCAAAGACAACAAATGGGACATAGTGGGATTGGTATGTGATATGTAGTCTATAGCATACATATTCGTGATCACATTGGTTGAAAAGAGGTTAATGTACAGTGTACAGGTAAATTGTAATACATGGAGTGTCTGGGGCATAAAAATGGATCGCGCTGAAGGACGAGGCGACATTGTCGGCGACTTTGCAATTCTGCAGCTCTGCAGCATGAAATCCCCCCGGCGTCTGAGAAGCAACCAGCGGGCCATGTTTTTCATCGTGAAATCGATCCACAACCAGCCGATGCTGGCACAACTTGCTGCATGGCAAGTTGAAGCCACTGTCCGAAAACTGTTTGTCCGATCTGAGGGCAACACAGAAGAGAAGATCTGAAAAATCAGGCAATTGTGCAACCGTACAACTTACAACCATATCCCAGACACTCCATGATACGATGTACATATGATAGTGACATATACATTGGTGTGGTTTGGGGAGTCATTCCATTCATGGAGTGTCTGGGTATATGAACAATCCACTGAGGCTGTCAATGTTACTGTTTTGAACATGGGTACACCACTCTGGATATTGGAGACAAGCCATGGAAGAGAACCGGAACCTGGTACCTCCGGAACCTGGTACCTCCGAGTACCACCAAAGCCCCTTTCTTGAGGTTTGATGAACTATGGGCAGATAAAACTCTGGGGCAAGATA